GGGGGTCAAAGGTTATGGTGGAGACGATGGGATTCCTATATGGGAGAAGAAATTCTGTGAGGTGATTGGTTCAGTGCCATGGCAAAAAGTAGTTGAAGCTAGTACTTTCAAGAGCTGGTACCAAGGTAATGTAACCACTTGGAATGACTCTGCCTGTGAAGAGACTTTTCGTAACGAGAAAAAGCGGTTTTGGTCACAAGTCAATGGCGTTCACTGTGATGTTTCTCTTCCTGATCCGAATCTTTACATCAGTGAAGTTGATTGGGATACTTATATTGACCCTGAACTGATTAGGGATTTAGAAAAGGCTTACTTTGCTCCTCCTGATGATGTAAATACCGGTTTTAAACGAGGGCGTCGAGACAAGGATTGGAATAGATTTAACCCAGTGCCTGTTGAAGAGAGTTTGTTGGGGAAGAAATCGAATGGTTGGGACGTATCAGAGAGTAATACTGATCATCCGAAAGATAGGGGGTGGACTTTGGAAGCTAAGCCTGGTTGTGGAAACGAGAAGGCGAATGATACAACAACTTCTGGGGATTGCTTGACGACTGAGGGATGGAGGGAGATCCAGTGTAAAACCAAAGAAAGAGGTAATGACAGTTGGGGTAACTCGGGCCAGGGAAACGACGGATGGGATAAGTCAGGGCACCAAAATAAGAAAGCAAAAGGCTTTGAAAGTGTCCCAGCCGAAGAGTATGAAATGGTCGATAATCCTTGGGAAGCCAAGCCTAGTGGTAGAAATGAGACAGAAAAAGACACCATTTGGGGAAGTTGCTCTGGTAAGGGATGGGAGGATAGAGGTTGGGGTAATAATGATTGTTGGGGTGATGGTGGATGGGAAAACCGGAATTCGGGAAATCAAGTTAGAGAGACGAAGGATTGGCGTAGTAAGGGATATAGGCAGGATTTTCAGGAGCCGAAGGGTTCTAATCCATGGAAAGTTGGCTTTGTTCCTGAAAATGCAGGTTTTAGAGGTTATGGGGCAAATGCAAGCGGTTGGCAAACACATCGAGCAAGTGAGACGAATCGAAGAAATTGGGATATGAAACGATCGAGTGATGGTTGGGGTAGGCGAAATCAGGAAAGAGATTACTCATGTGGCTACAATTCTAACTACCAAAACTCAAGGCCTAGAAGAGATGATCATCAGAACAGGAAGGTCAATTTCTCAGCTAAGTAGTGATCCATTGTTTTGTCTGCGGGATGTTTTTTTTGTATTAGTTAGGGTCTTCACTGAGTTTAATCTGTGAAGGCACGCACGGGAAAGCTTAAGCTGGGTCATTGACCTTCCATGTAATTCAGAGGTAGGGTCTATGTTTCTCCTTCAGAATCAACATATGTAGATTATAAACGAGTATCCTTTTTGATGATAATGTTTCAATTAAAACTATTAACACTTTTTGAGACTAAATTGATAATGATAATGTTTCATTCTTTTTTAAAAAGGTTTCAGTCACATTTCACCTAATTTAATTCCAACTTCAAGAAAGAAAGGTATATATACACACATGAATACACTTAATGTTTTGGCTCCATGCATCCCTTCGAAGCTTTCTCATTTCATTTTTTATATTCAAAATGAGATATTCTACTTAATAGATTATTATATTTCTGAATAGACAAAAACTATAGGGTCACATTATGATGATGGGTGCTGCGTCTGATTAATATTAGAAATCATTAATTGGAACATTGTTAAAGCATGATACTGATTGAGAAAGTTGCATGTTGCTTTGATAATTGGACGGTGATCAAAGCTCTCAAAAAGTGGCTAAAAACAATACTTTGTCCAACGCAGAAAGCTATAATCCCATTGCTACAGTTTCAATACAAAGCAAAGCAAATGTAACCCCAAAGCATGAGACTTTATTCTATATCATTAGGACCAAAACAGTTGGTAGACACAAAACAAGAATCCATTTCATTTTCCCATCAATTTGAAGATTTGAACTTACAGTAAGCAAAGGTTTCTGTTGATCCATCAATATGATTTATACAGTAAGCAAATCGAATTAACAAAATTACAAAATATAAACCAAAACGTATATGAAAACCCTCAGACAAAAAAAAAAAAACTATATCTTTCACTCATCCCTGATGCATCAACAATGTTGTTAAACTCTGT